ATTTCTTAGTGGAAGGAATAGAGTTTCCTTGATGCGGGGCCAAATTTATATAGAATTTCAAATGTTCTTCTAGATGACATGTTGTGTTCTGTAATGCTCAAGGAGACCATAATTTCTTTGGGGATATATATAAATACACTGGTATATGAAAAAAAATCCCACAGTATTTCTAAATGAAACAGTTGAACATCTAGCCTGTATCCCAGTTTCTGTTGTTTTTTTTTTTTTTAGAAGAATTCACTCACAGTAAATTCATACCAAATTTCTCAGAAAATCTGGTGGGAGACTACTTGAAGAAATGCTTCAGCATTATTGCTGACTAGCTAACATAAGCTGACAATAGTAGATGACTGTGGTGAAATACTGATATTTCCTTAGACCTGCCTCTTCCTCTTTCTGGGATGTTGGTTCTGTGAGCTCACTTATTAGCCAATGGTTTTAGCACATTGCTAAAATTAATCTCCAGATTGATGTAAAATTAATTGCAGAATTCTACTTTCGTGGAGGATAGGAGGCCCTAGAAATAAGGAAATCATCCTTACCTCTATCCTGTGACATGAACTTTTATAAACTCTAACCTAGGTTCATGTCATGGCAAGGAAATACAGGTCAAAACTGTGATTTATATGATCAACTATTAAATTTAAACACTTAAGTTCTTGTTAATCTCAATGACAATTATTTAGCTAAATCCCATATCCTTTCAAAAATATGCCTGTGTTCTACTACTTATTTTTTCTAAAACTACTGTCATAAATGAACAGAACCCCAAAGCGCCATACTGATGTATACCAGTAAAAACTTAGAAGACAACCTGATTAGATTTCCTGTGGTAGAATTACATTATCAAACAAAATACAGGGTTTGAAATGCAACACTCCAAAAGAAATACAGTAGGCTGAAAATTTCCTTAATGAGAAATCCATGAACCTAAATATTTGGTGTTTCTGATTTGCTCACTTCCTCAGGTTAATGTTTCTTCAACATGTTTCCAATTCCTTTTTTTTTTTCCAGCTGAATTGGTTGTTGTACTTTCAAAGGTGATGATTTGCAAATGATGATTTCCAGCCTACTGTATTCTATGTATGGCAGAATGTCCATCAAGTTTCCTGTAGGTGACATTAGTAGCGCAATCATTCAAAATGCAGCCTGACAGCATTTCAATCAACTCACTTTTCAACACTAGACATCAAATATACATTGCAAACCCAGTACCTGCTCTGCTTGTAGAGTGACATCAAATAGGTTAGCCTTGGGTCCTAAGACAGAGCCTGTCTCTCGAACTACTACATTAAGAAGTGACTTTGGCAATGATTCTCTTGGAGATTAAAACTCCACCAATACTGGCTCTCAACCTACAATACAATCTAATCCCTTTATTCCTTGTGTTTCTGTCTCAGCAAAGCCCAGAGGAGCTGTGTATCTGCTAGATGAGTCAGCCACATAGCCCAGATCTTAACCACATCCTGTAGAGCTTCACATTTACAGCAAAGGTGCGAGCAGACTAGCATCCATACATTTATAAAAAAAGTGCCCTGGGTCTGAGCTCCTTGGGGTTTGCTTCCTCCCTTTTGCAATAACTGCATTGCAGCACCTCCAGAGACACCTTGAGGTGGCAAATTTTGCAACTCTTCATGATGTCTGGATGATTATATCAAGACCTGCCTTTTTAAAACAGCAGCAGAAGCACTGGGATAATATCCAACTCTTGTGACACTTCATGAAATGAAGAGGCCTAGCTACTGCCATCCTGGGGCTTTTTTGTCTTTTATTGGGAATTAAGAACAGGTCAGTTCTCATTTTACTTTTGTGCCTTGGGCTGAAGTAAGGTCTACTCCTTGACCCACAACAACCTATACTCTATCTGCTGAATCTTCTGAGTCAGATCCATAATTCCCTTTAAATTAGAGGACAACTAGCTACTACCAAACACCATGGAGGAGCCTGACAAAGAGGAAGGCAGTGGATGTGCTCAGGATTTCAAGTTCAGAGGAATAAAAAAGGCATGCCAGCACTCATAAACCTTAGAAGGACAGCGTGAATCCCTCTCCTTCTGTTCTGTTTGCTAATCAGGCTTTGGTGCTGATGGCATAAATCAGGAGGATGAACAGCTGGGAGATGAATCAGATAAAACACTACTGTAAAGGCATTGTCAGCCCATCATAACAGTGGCACAGGCAAGGACATGCAGACCACTGTGCAGCACAGGTGCAGTCTGGGCCTTCTGAGGTGACTCTGGAGACAGCAGTGGTGATCCAGGTGTGACAGCTTTATAAAGAGAGAGTTTTGATGTGGCCAATTTACCACATGCCTCACCACCACTCCTACTAGTGTGCAAAAGATGTGATCTTTTATCCCCAGAGGGACAACACTGGTCTAGTCCTGATTCAGTTCTAGGCACTAGGCAGGATGGTGCTGATCACATTGTCACATTGATCCTACAGCCAGGAATTGCAGATTCAGATTTCCTATACGGGACAACATCTTTCCTGCAGCATGTGCAGTGGAATGGATAACAGCTGCCCTCACCATTAGCTTTGAGCCTGCAGCAGGCAGGAGATTTGTGTCCCTTGGTCCTGCAGGAACTGCCTACAGTCACATTCCTGGAGCTCCACAGAGGGCACTGCCCTGGTTATTGCTGCCACTCTTGCTGAGAGACGCTCCACATCAGGAATGCAAGTGCAGCAGGAGATATACATCCGTGTGGCCCAAAAGAGGTTAATGTAGGGCCCAATAACCTTCACAGATGAATCAAACAGCTGAGTAGAAAAAGCTGTCATGAATATTTGCAGTCCTAGCAAAGGTAATGGATGAAGAGGAATTCTGTCCTAGAAGATGAAGCAGTAGAAGCAGTATATGAACAGACTTCAAGGTAGGAAATTATATAGAGGTGGGAGAGATTATTCAGAGCTACTAACTCAGTGTCTGGTCTGGAGGGATGATTTTCTCTCTGAGGAGTGACTGAATCTCTTCCCAGTGGAAGTGTTTGGCCCTGGAGATACACAGACTGGACGCTGGTAAATCCCAGGCTAGGGCAAGGTCCTCCCTGCAGGTCTGCTCGTTCTGCTCTCTGGGACATTCAGCTGGCTGATGCAGTTTCATCATGCAGGTTCACAGATGGTAAAAGGACTCACAAGCCAGCCTGAGTGCTTGCTGGGGACACAGATGTGCTCTGAAGATTGCTTTGGTATTTATGTGAAACAACTGCTGTTTATTAAGAGGTGTTGAAAGTAATAATAAATAATTATAAATTATTTTAATGTATTAAATTGTTGACATAACACCAACACAAATATCTCTTAGGAAAGAGAATAAACATATAAAGCTACATTACTTTAGAAATTAATTCATTAGTATTTATTACAGGAAATTACAATCAATTATTAAGCATTATGATGTCTTGCTTGGAGAATGGATTTTTTTTTGCTATTATTAATAATCTTAATTACCAACTTTAAGTACTGTTTCTTTCCCACACACATCCCAGGACACTAATTTTTATACAGCATCTAAAATACACAGTGGTTTTGGTTTGGGTTTCTTTGTAGTACACAATAATTTGTTGAAAATAAAGTTAATTTCCTAGTTGCTAAGTGGAAATAGAAGCTGTAGGTGTCCCTCAATCAGTTATGACCTAGCCTGGGAGAGCTAGTTGATATTGTGCAATAAGAAATTTATTTCTCCAAAGTTTTATGCATCATAATCAAAATACCAAGAGGCCAAGCTTGCCCATGTTACTGATTTTTATATCCCTTATGCCATCAAACAAGAATTGTATGCTCAAAAACTTGCTGCCCTTACACCTGATTGGTCTAACAAAACATAGTATCTTAAACAGGTTGCCCAGAGAAGTTATGAATGCCTCTTCCTTGGAAGTGTTCAAGGTTGGATGGGGCCCTGAGATACCTGGTCTAGTGGAAGGTGTCCCTGTCCACAGCAGGAGATTTAGAATTAGAAGACCTTTAAAGTCACTTCCAACCCAAACCATTCTGTCATTATTGCCTCAAAAGTGTCTGTAAATTATGATGATCTCACTGTTGGACCTATAATTATCCTGATACTAATCTGGTTGACCCCACTACAATCTTATAGATTGTCAGTAATTAGGCTTATTTCACAGTATTCAGACAATCTATTTTCAGATATCTTCATTTGTTAAACAGATGCATAACCTGAATGTAATTTTTTGGCTTGTCATCACAGGTCTTCACATCCTCAAGTCTGTTCTCTAGTTCTCTTCTTTCATGCCTCCTCTGGTACCTCTATGCTCTGATCTCTTAGGTTGCTACTTCTGACTTCTGGGGTGATGTACTGTGCTTGGGACACACAGACTCTCATGTAGATATAAACATTTTCACTTCTTAATTACCACAATTAACTTTACACCCAGTATCTTGGTAGAAATGGGAGTGCTTGGCCAGCTGTACCTCTGACTACCCTACCCTCTCCTATGGTACTGCAGCATTCCCTGGACTCCAGTTGTCCTTACAGCCTTCCACAGGTCCTCTGCTGATGGGAGCAATGGCAGCTAGGTGTTATTGCCATCCCTTCAGTGCCCAGGCAATCAGCAAACACGCCATAGCCACAGTGAACAAAGGTGTTAATGAGGACACCTGAATTGATTTGGTGGTGATACTCAGCTGTTAAACCAATCATGAGACTGTAAAAGTAGTGAGGTAGATTAACAAAGTGTTTTGCTTAATACTGAGGAGCAAAGGCATTGTCTGTGCATGGTAAGGTTGCTTTATGGTACCTTGTAAAATGCTTTATGCCAGAGCAAAGCATAGTTATTCTGTCTTTACTAAAAGTGGGTTTTTAAAATACACATAATTAAATTTTTACACATTCTTCTGTGAGTTGCTAAATAACTTCAGTGCTACTAAATGAATAGATTGTGGATGTTGTGAAAGGTTTGTCTGTCTGGAGGGGGTGAGGGGAGGGATGTCATAGTTGAGCTCTTTTTAGCTTCTTCATTTTTTTTCTTTGTATTTTCAACACAGAGAAATAAACTAATTCCTTATGAAAGTTGCTGGATGGACAAGTCCTGGAGGAACTGTAGTGGATTCCTCTGCCTTTCTTCACCCCTAGGCTGGTCCTCTGCGCGTGTCTCACACATAAGGAACTCTGGTTGATCGCTATCCATCTTTTCTGTTGAGGACATCTAAGGTGAGTGTTTGCTTCATAGGGTTTTTTCCTCTCTTTGTTTTTCATTCATTCAGAGTGGTCAGCCATTGAGTAGATATGACCAGGTCAGCTGATACAGATCTAAGAAAGTTGATCCGATGTTCGTGGCTTGTATCATCAGTAAGAATGCAATTTTACTAATGTTACCTAAACAACCATTTTACGTTGAAGTATTTTCTAAGCAGCAATATAAAAAAATTGCCTGAAATTTGCTATATAAATGATGAATATGCATTGATTCAGCACAACTGTGATTTTATAAAATCAGTTATTGTTGTGCTTTTTGTTCTGATGCATTTACAGTAGTATTTCCCCTCTAGCAGGGCATGGCCGAGATGGGATCCTTTGCCTTCCATTATAACAAGTTGTTGTTTTTTTTTTCACATTTTAACCAGTAATTTGTTGCAAAGCACTTTGATATGCTCTGCTCAGATGGAAGACATTATAGAAGAATTCGATTGCTCTCAAAATTGATTGAATGCTAAAAAAACATAAATAATAATTCAAATTTAGAAATAACTTGGCTTAAGCTGGCTTTATGCTGTTGTTGCTCAATGGAGCACTGTTTGAAAGACTTGGTCAAAAACTGGAACCCTGCTGTGTTAAAAGCTGTATTGACACTGGACAAAAAGGTAGCACTGCTCTGAAGTGCTTTCAGTTTTCCCACAAAAGCTTAAGCAATTAAGTTGGAGACTCTATTTGTTTGCTTGTTTTGGTGCTTTCTCTGGCTTTTTTGTTTTCTTCTTTCATGAATGATAATGAAAATTCATATTGACTGCACATGTTGTTTTAAATGCCTAGAATACATCTGGGTGTTATCTGAGGGCTTTTTCCAGTGAAGTTAAGGAAAACCCTTCCATTTGCTTCTCTTTTCTGCAGTGAGTTCTTTGACCATCTTATTTTATGTTCTTAGCATATGTACAAAACCCATGGTAAAGCTAAATGAGGGTGAGTACCACTGACAGGTGACTAGAATTATATCTCAAAAGCAACATAGTCATTCTCAACCCGTTCTAAGCAACCCTTAAATGACCTTCAAAACCAGAACTACAGAATGCACCATTTTCAAACAAGGAAAAAAGATGTGGCTAACGCTTGTGTTATGTGGATAATTGTTCTGTAGCACTGGTAGCAAAATTAGGAAACCAAAGTCATGGGTGGTAAGAAAGCATCAGAAGGCACAAACCTGTCCCTGAGGAAACTTATAGCAACTGACACAGAAGAGTGTAGCATATTCATGATGTTAGGGTCAATCTCATTCACTTTTTCTTGGCCCAAGCTATGTTTCCACCTGTTGCTTTCTATGCCTGTGAATTCCCCAAAACTGCCATAAGCATGAAAGAAATCCATTTTGGTCAGGAAGCAGTATTTCAGTCTTTTAGGCTTTGGGATACTTGTTCTGCCTAATATTTTTGTGCTTTGGGTGAATTCATACAGATGGTGAGATAGGGCAAGAAGATTTATGTTGAGATTTATTGAGGGAACCTATTTTTCCCCTCCTGGCTGACATCAATAGGGTTGCATAGTCTATTCACTTTGTCACAAAGTGCACCCTGAGAAAGTATGGAGAGGGCCCTGATTGCAATTCTGCCTTCGAACAGGTCACAACTCCATTGTTCTGAAACAATAGAGGTTTTATAAACAAAGTCTGACTAGAAAGATTGTGAGTTATGACACTACAAAGAGCCTTGCTGAAAGCAAAACAAGGCAAAAAAGAAACAGGGTAAGGCATAGAAAAATGCTTATAAACAATAAGTTAAATCCCAGGTCTTGAGTGAGACACTGATGCTGGAGGTACTGTTGTACCTTACAGGAATACTGAGATTGGTCTGTTAGTGTTTACAGCACATAGTGCATATGCTTTATAATTACAGTGAAAATAAATGCATAGACACAAAAGTACTTAAAAATCTGGTTATTTCTGGCTTCCAAGGGATTGCTCGCCTGTTTCAAGATAGGCATATACTTAGGCTTCTTGCTGGGGACCTGAAAGAGGCTGTGGATGATGTCCTTCTCCTTGCGTTGCCTATCGCAGTCATCTCATGTTACCTTAAGTTACTATTTCCAGTGACCATCTGTTGCCTTTCATCATAAATTTAGCACTGCCCCATGAACTCTCCCATTGGTAGGGCCTGCTACAGTTACTCTTAGGGATGTATTTTTGCAATACGGAACTTACTCTTTTGCATCATGACTGTATTTTCACTTCCCAACATGCAGTACCTGGTGCAACAGGTGCCTTGTGGGTGTAGAGCAATGCAAGCGAGTAATGAGTGGCACAACTGAAGGATGCTCTGGAAAATCCAGAGCATGAAAGGAAGCCCCTTGAATTCAAGCAGCTGATGTGTTGAAGGCGTTCAGACTTTATATGTTTGAAATAAATTAACCAGATTGTCACAGTGGAATTATTTTTTTTATCATTTGTGCACAGATATTTATCTAGGTTTTATTCAGTAGAGAGGAAATTATCAGCACTTCAATCTGTCCCAACAAAACTGAGAAACTTTCCCTCTCTGGAACTGGCCTGGAAACAAATTTTTTTTCCTTCTCTCTTGAAACTGAAGGTATCTCAAAAAATAAGCTCATATTACTTTGTTATATGAGCTGCTAAATTTTTTAATTTTAGTTGCGGATGCCCAGAGGACGAGTAATCAGTTATTATGCTAATCGGCCTTATGTTGCAGTGCATCAGTTTGATGAGGTTAGTGTTAAAAATCTGGCATAAGTATTCGCAGCCTTCCTGTGTTAGTGGAATGTAATGCTTTACCATGTGAAGATCAATTTAACAAGCAGATTTAATCTGAGATTGGGAGGAGGGAAGGAGGGGAGTCAGGAAAGAACAGAGTGAAGTTCCCTCTGTACTAGACTTCCATCTCTATACCTATGGCAAACAATTATTACCAAATTAAAGGTTCAGCATGTATTCCACTAAAGCAGGTGATCAGAATGTTAGGCAATAACAATTTAGAAATTGCCACTTTTCTTCTCTCTTTTTAAATGCATCTGTAAAGAGCATCTAAGAAGGCTATGTGCAACTTTTTAGAGGCATAATTAACTAGCTCTCATTTGTTAATAAGTGGATACTGGAGGATTAAAAGTATCCACCTGCTATTTTGTTTTGCTTTTTAACTACATTTTAAATGAACTTGAATAAGATTTGTTAATATGTGATGTCTGTTTACTCAAAGTAAACAGACTCAAAGTGTCAAGCAAGCTTTTATATAAAAACAGGGAACTAAGACAGGACTGAAAAATCATTATACAGAAAAGCACTGCAATTCAAGTTTCTAGCTAGGTGAAGCCCAGAGTCGCTTGGGATTACATCAGTTCCATGAGAATGTTTTTACCATGAAACTAGATGCCAGAGTTTCTGCACCAGGGTTGTTTGGGGTGGGGAATGGAGACTGTCCAGGTTTATCAAGCTGAATTTTGCATTCTGCAGCCTTAATCAGTCTGAAGCTAATTAGCAGCCTCTACACAATAGGGCCACAAGTCATTAATCATAGGAGATGAGAGCAGTCAGCCCCCCATCCTCGACATTTCAAGAAAAGTTTTCTCTTGCACTCTTTTTCTTTTTTTGTGATGGGGCTTCAAAAGTCGCAAGATTGCTTTTCATGGTCAATAGTGTGTGAAGTATAAGCCATGTCTTGATGTGACAGACAAGGGACCACTGTTCAAGGACCTATTGGACTCTTTTTCTCTCTTTTTTTTCATTCTTCTCTCTAAATGCTGTCCTCTAATAGAATGGAGTCAACTGATGACTTTATTTGCTTTGAGTTGAAGCATAGTTCAGCTGGGAATAAAAAAAAGTTTTAACAAGTATGATTTTTGTTAGAGGGAAATTCGAGTTTTTTACAAAGCTGCTTAGTTCTTTTTAAAAGTTACAATCCTTTCTTATGCACAGCTAATGAGGAATGAAAGTCCTTTCACATGCCTAATACAGTTTAGTACAGTGTGTCTTGAAATCCAATGCTAACAGCTGCAGGCTAAGCACTAGGAAACCCTTGCAGGAAAAAGAAGTAAATTTTTTGAGGCTGTTGATCAAACTTCTTGCAAACAATTTGAAGAAGAAAGTTGAAAGAATAAGTTTGTTGTCTTTAACAACGGTGAGAATTAGATTATGCGCTGTATTTTATTCTGTGGGTAGAAGATGTAATTCTATCTATATTACTCCCACAATAAGGGATGGGTGATATCTGTATGTCTGACACCTGTCTAGCAGGTCTTACTCCTTAGTTGTCCATAGCATGTCCTTACAGCTGTTGGCACCATCACTGTTTCAGGCTCAGATGTTTATTACAATAATATTACAATATTATTCCCAGCTTCTGGCTGGGAATGCTGGGGAGAGAAGGTGTTTTTATGAGTAACAAATATATTCATATAGTCTTGTGTTGTTAATCACTGAATTTTCAGTATAAGCAAAACTATTTTGTTGAAGGACAGGTTTTAGAAATCTTTCCTGAAGACCTAAAGGTATTTCTCAAGGCCTCTTGCTTATCCTACTGGACTTTGCTAGTTTACTTGAGGAATTGCAGTAACACTGAGAGTAGCTAATGGGCTTTTGTTTATACAACTGTGCAGGAGTTCCTTGTTCTAGCAGATACTATACCAAGCTTTACATCCACCCCTGTGCCTGGAGTTGTCCACTGCAGACTGGAGGTGGCTTTTAGCAGCAAAGCTATACGGTGACAAAGCACTGCACAGCACTGCCAGCAGCCTGACCACATTGATATCCAGTGCTCCACATGAACAGTTCCAGTTTTGCTTTGATTTGCTTATTTCTCTTCTTTGGAGACTTAAAATAATGTTGAAAGCCTGTTTGGTTTGGGGTAATGTTGTTGTTTTGTTAGTTTCTCTTTCTGTTACCAGTCTTTGAGATAATTGAAAGTGAGGAAAGAAAAATTGTAATTAGGAGGTTCAAACAAATTAAATCAGAGCTCTGTCTCTTACAGACAAGCAGCTATCCATAGCTTTAATAT